AAAAAAAAAAAAACGTCCCTGGGTGGGCTTGAACCACCAACCTTTCGGTTAACAGCCGAACGCGCTAACCGATTGCGCCACAGAGACATGCAAGTTATAAATATAACAATTATTCAAATTTAAAATCCAATATTGATCTAAAATCCTTTATGTTTCTAATTTTTAACCAGGTAGACATCGATTTTCTTATATTTTACTATTTGGCCCTGAGGCACATTTGAACAGTTCATGAATCTCAACGATCAGAACGTGTTCACAAGCGATTTCGAGATCTTTTTACTTTTTATTTTAACAAAAAAATAAATCATAATTCTTTTTTTATTTTATTTAATTACTCGAAATGTACTAAGTTGACTCGAGTGACGCCTGTTTATCATAGACTGACTTCTTTGGGGTCAAATTGCTCTATATTTTTGGCAGCGTAGACTAAAGAGTGGAGAGCTCAAATTTCTCTATATTTTCGGCAGCCTAGACCTAAAGAGTGGAGAGCTCAGATTTCCAACACAGCCTTGTCTACCGGTCTACGTTGATGAGTTAAGCTTTGACAATTCGATCTCGTTTCCCTCTTTAAACTTCTTTTTTATGACAACAACAACACAAATTGAAGAGGAATTATTTCATGCTTGAAAGTGTTTTATCATTGTTGATTGAAAGTCTTTCATGCTTGAAAACTTGATGATTGAAAGTCTCTCATGCTTGAAAATGAAAACTTGATGATTGAAATTATTTCATGATTGATGATTGAAATTATTTCATGATTGATGATTGAAAGTATTTCATGATTGATGATTGTAATTATTTCAAGATTGATTATTGATATGTAGTTCATGATTGATGACTGAAAATCTGTCTTGCATGTTTGATGATTAAAATTAAAATGATTTTATGCTTGATGATTGAAAGCCTTCTATGATTGGTGATTTTGGGTCTTTCATGCTTGATGAACGAAAGTCACCTGAACCGGTATTTTTTAAGAATTCGATGTTTTAAAAAGTAAATAATTTAAAGACTACAGATTTAACTTTCCATTACGGCAACTACAGTTCTGCTGTCTCTTCGAGCAAGACATTTTACAAATTAAAAAATTTATAAATTTCTACCTTTCAGTGCGTAAGAGTCGTCTTTTAAAGAAATTATTTTTTTTTAAAGTGAATTAATAATTAATTTAAAAACCACTTTAAAAGTAAATAAAACAGTATCGTCCCTGGGTGGGCTTGAACCACCAACCTTTCGGTTAACAGCCGAACGCGCTAACCGATTGCGCCACAGAGACTTACAAGCTACCATCTTAACTATATAAACGAATAATATAAATTCAATTTTTGAAGATTTGGATCGTTGATAGCATTCTATAAGATCAGATAAATATCTAAGTTTATATCTTTGTGTCCTAAGGGCAGGTTTGGACAGTCTCTGTATCTTTACTGTCGTTTACATTAGAGTTATATTTCCAGTTTCGTTTAAATATTCGTTTGCTGTTACAATTAGTGGCGTAGGCAGTGACTTAGGTAAGTCAAGTTGGTGCAGTCCGGGTTGATGAGCTAAGACTTAGGCAAGTCAAATTGGTGCAGCCCGGGCTGATGAGCTAAGACTTAGGTAAGTCAATTTGGTGCAGCCCGGGGTGATGAGCTAAGACTAATGGTGCAGCCCGGGGTGATGAGCTAAGACTTTGGACGTCCCTTTCCACACTAAAAACCCAGCAGCCCAGCAGTTGGCTGATAATGCCACAACTCGATGTAAAGAGAACAGTGCCACCGTGGGGCTGTTGCTCCCTTTCCTACGCCACTGGTTACCATCAAATTCATTTGTGAGAACCCTGTAAGTATCCAATCGGTTGTTCATTACACATTACACATTACGTACTGAAAGTGAAATCTAACCTGTTGAGTCTAGGTTATAAAATGCTGGACACCTAGTAGTTAACAAACTACAAATTAAAAAAATAAATAAATCTTTGTCCTCCTTGTCAAGAGAGGAAAACGGAATTTTTAAAACCGTTTCCGGAAATTTGTTTCAAAGAAATTTCGTCGACGGAAGTTTGATCGAACGGAAATTTGATCGAATTATTTATTTATTTTCAGTTCAAATGATCTAATTTTGCGTCAAATTTCTTTCTGAAAGCATTTTTGGTTTTGTTTTACTCTATAGTATAATGCGCTCAAAAAGAAATTTGACGAAAATTTGATAGCGTGAACTGAAAAAGTTCGTCGGAAAATATATGGACAAACAAAGGATGAGTATTGTAAGGAAACCTTGCTTACTCTCTGATTAACTTCATCTAGATCTGGTACTCAATAAGGAAACAACTCCGGTGATACATTTGATGATTAAACTCGTGTTCTTTATTGGCTGTCACTTGCTTACACTTTCACTCGTCTCACAACTCTGACTTCTCCCTGCTATCTAGTTCTCAGTCCGGCCGCCTTCTACATACCATCCGGCCGCGCTCCCCCTTTTTGTCCCGTCCAGAGATCCCTATTTATACCTCCCCGTCCCATGGTTCCTCTCCCAGTCCAGATTATACCCCGCCCCGTTTTCCCAATCGGCGCCAGATTACAAACAGACCAGGGAAATGCCCCGGTCAGATGGATGGCCGGTACCGCCCCCAGCGCTTGATCCTTCGGTCGTGATCTCTGTCAGCTGGCGCCGGCTGTACCTGTCAGACGGCCGCTAATCCCTGGTCAGACGGTTACGTCAGACGCCCCCGGCGCCGTCGTGGTCCGACCGAACTCTCCACAATATTAATGGAAAATACGAACCAACAAGGAATTGTTCGGACTATTTCAGGATCCCACTCTAGTAGTAGAAATAAAAAGGGGCTGGCTACGCTGGGCGAGACAGTTAGAAAGAATGCCAAAGCACAGAGGAGGGGAGAGGGTGCACCACCAAAACCCCAGAAAAAAAGGCTCGATAATGGATGGATGATGTGGGTGGAAAAAAGATCTACATCAGCTGGGAATCCAATCATGGAAAAGAAAAGCACCAGTAAGGTCTGAGTGGAAGCCTACGTGGTGCCACGCACGGATAGGAGAGCTGTTTATTTTCCAACAGCTGACCCGCTGCCGAACCGGAACATCCTGATAAAACTGTTTCTGTATCGGCTGCTCATGTTGTAGTAGACGAAAATGTTGACGCTCCCATTGATCGCCTCCAACAAGAACGAGAAGGAGAATACCACATTGAATATGTTCTGATAGACGCCCCCGGCGCCGAACGCGGGATCGTGCGCCATCCAGGCGAAGAAGACGGTGGTGGGCGTGAAGCTGACGATGAAAACAGTTGAGATGGCCACCACCATTTTAACAGCCTTCTGGTCCTTTCTCGAGATCTTCCCCGCTCGGTCTTGTTCTTTTGCGCGCGTCGCGCTTTGCCTCCATTTCGTTTTTTCTCTGAGTTTCACTGCCAGTACAATGGTGCAGACGACGACGACGCAGAACGATCCAATGGGTGACACGACGTTGTTGATGGTGAAAGCCACGCTCTCCACCTGCGCCCGGTCCGGGGTCACGACCAGACCGACAAGGGTTCGGTTCCGCTCAGCGATGAAGACGTCCCCGAGGCGGCTGGTGTAGTAGGTAGGCGCCACGCTCGCCATGACGACGAGAAAGATACCCACTATGCAGCCGTTGACCCGTGTCGGGGTGAGGATAGTCTTCACCTTCAACGGCAGACAGATGCACAGACAACGTTCGAACGTCACGAAAGCCGTGATCCAGCCGGTGACGCGCGCGAAGCAGACGTGCGGCCACCCCGCGGTCAAGTACTGGACGTCCAGAGCCACGAACAGGATCTGTTCGGAGTTTTTCAACAGCGGGTTGGAGAGTATGGCCAGCCATAGCAGAGACACGAGCGACAGGAGGTCGGAGAAGGCCAGGCCGAACAAGCTGATGTTGACCGTGTCCCGGAAACCCTGCCTCACGAAGATGAGGATGCTGATGACGTTGGAGACGGTCCCGAGGCCGGAGACGATGGTGTTGAGGATGACGGAGTTGGCCAGGAAAAAAAGTTGGGTCGTGTCGTCATCAAGCAGCAGGGCGTCTCGGACCACAAAGCAATGCGTCGTGTAATTAGCGACCACGTCACTGCCGCACATCGTGGTGTTACAAATGTTATGGCTTCCAATGAAATCGGACTCTGCGTGGAAAGTATATTTCTTATGAGAACCCAATCGAAAGGGCACAAGATTATCGGATATTTAATCCCCTACAATGTGTCTAAAGCCTTGCTGAGACTTTGATGGTTGCAATCATGCAGTCTTGTTAGCGGGAATGGAACTATTTAGATAACTGAATAACGACATTGTTTAAGTCGGAAAGAATAATGATCTCACGTTCTAACAATTTGGTTATTACGGACACAAGAATGAATAGTTGTTGACATGCGTCGCAATCATGATCACCTCTGACTTGAATAGAAAACACGACATGTATTATATACAACGACATGGGCGGGATTTGGGGGTGTGGGGGGAAGGGGGTTCACGATGCTTTTCAATTGATGAACAAATTATTTTTTTATGAATGTTTGTTTCAACAAATATGTGTCGCTGTTATTTGATGAAAAGTTGATTTTTAAATATTAATGAATTTGTTCATGGGGGACATCATTTAAATTTTTTTTTTTTTTTTTTTTTTTTTTTCAAATCTATTAAACTTTTTTTTTTTTTAAATTTTTTTTTTTTTTTTTTTTTTTTTACAAATCCATGAACACTTCTAATTTGTGTTGAGTTTGGATTTTATTTTTTGTATTTTTTTAATTAATTTTTTTTTAAAAACCCAATGTGATTGTAAAATAAACACGAACTACATAATGGCGTTCAGTAATTTGTTTAATTTCACTCACATCGATGTCATTGCATGCTCGCAACATCGGCTCGAGCTACGAGCAGGCAAAGAAGAGGCAAGATAGATTACCTAGCGGCTCCATACTCTCGTCATACTAATTGAGGCAGGCGTGAATTTATTGACGACAAAACCCCCACCAAGTTTTAATTGCAAGCTGTGTTGGATTCAAGTGCAGGGAAGTGCTAGTAGTTTTCTGAAAACTGATCTGAGAGAGATTTTTTTTGTGCATTGCTAACGATGGTTATTGATTCAAATGAGACAGCATGGGGCTTAGTGGGTGGGTCAAAGAAGGGGGTTGGTGGGTGGGTCAAAGAAGGTGGCTCATCTAAACCATAGCCTCTATTAAAAAAAAAAATGTTTAAGTTACTGGCTAGTAAACTTTAAATGACTTGATTTTTGTTTGTTTCTTTATTTGTTTGTTTGTTATACTTGAAACTGTTTCGTTATACTTGAAGGGTAATAAGGGAATAGACTGCAACCAGGTTAGCAAAATAGTAAAAACAAAACAAAACAAAAAAAAAACAGAAACAAAAATACAAATACAAATACAAATAAAAAATAGCACTTACCTGAAACAATTCTTTTGCAGCCCTCTCAGCACAGTTCTAGTTTTTTTAAATTTTGTTCTGTTTTTTCTGTTGGTTTGCTGACGAAGTATTCCTGCCGACACGTTCGTTGTTTTGTTTCGTTCCTTTTTCAGGGCAGACCTTACTTTGTCTTACTCATTTCCTATTTATACTTGAAACTGTTCATTTATACTTGAAACTGTTCATTTTATACTTGAAAACGTTCATTTATACTTAAAACTGTTCATCTATGCTTGAAACTGTTCATTTATACTTGAAACTGTTCATTTATACTTGAAACTGTTTAGTTAGACTTGAAACATAATTGAAAACGAAATTCGAATATCCTTTTCATTAAATACAATGAAATTAGGCAGAACTTAAACATTTTTTAATACAATTTTTATTATACAGTTAATATATTTTTGTTAAAGTTTATTTAGGACTCAAACAAATTCTACAAAATTGTACAGATCTGTCCATTCACCACAAGTGTCTTGTTTGCCATAGCCTTGCCCTAAACCCTCTGTGATGTAAGCTTTTAGCCCGTCGCGCTCAAGCTAAACCCAGAGGTTGGTGGTTCGCCCAGCGCCATCATAGTCTTAATATACCTACATTTTTGTGCAATGTCAAAACATGACTGGCTAGAAATTTTGTCTTTAGTATAGGTCTATCTATAAACTATATTTTAAGAAATAAAACATGTTCTTCAACTGCGTATTTAATAATAAAATCGATGCCTTGTCTGCAGGTGGTATTCAAATTCAAAGAATTGCATCGTGCTTTGTTCGAATGTTTCACTTTGTTAGCATGTGAGCAAAGTTCTTTGTGTATTTTAGTATTTCATATATCAATGTCGAGCCTTCAGAATTCATGCATGTGTATTATTACTCATACTCCCACTGAAAGTCAACCTGATATTTACTCAAACGTGTTCTCTCAATTTTGTTCCTACCGTTATGGACAATTACAAAAGTTGTCATGGTAAATCATTTATTTCATTAGGAAATATTTCATGGTTCATGTCTGTCCCCCCCCCCCCCTCTCCCACACACACACAAATTTAGTGTTATCAGACGTAGATGACATTATGAAGGGTATGCCATAACGCATGGCAGGCAAGTATGGTGGCCGAGTGGTTAAGGCGTTGGACTTAAGATCCAATGGAATTATTTCCGCGTGGGTTCGAACCCCACCCGTACTAAATTTGCTTTTTGCATCGGTTTTCAATTTTGCCCCAACAATATTAGACGATTATATCAGCACTTTTCAGGGCTGATGCTTGATTTCATTATGAAATATTTCGTAGCAGGTGACAGATTTCCCCAATTTAGGGGTAATAAGGGGAGAGACTGCAATCAGGTTAGTACAAAATAAAATGAGTAAAACAGAGTAGGGTTAAACCTGAAAAAAAAAAACGCAACCAGACTTCTATTGCTGCCCACAGATACTACTTACCAGCTAAGTGCTATTTCTTATTTTTGTTTTTATACCGTTTTGTCTGTTGCTTTGTTCGCTGACGAAGGCTTTCTGCCGACATGTTCGCTGTTTTGTTGCGTTTATTTTTTCAGGTTTAACCCTACTCTGTTTTACTCATTTTATTCCCCAATTTAGCGTCGTCAGAGATGCATTTTGGCTTCATGTTTAAAATCATTATTTGACAATATCTCGCTGATCATATCCCAGTTATTCCGGTGTATTGAGTTTTTGCTGTAAAACATGATTCTTTGAGTTTATGTCTCGTTCAATAACTTACCACCAAACTGTCATCATCAATCAATGGGAGATTATGTGCTGGACAACGGCAACAAAGATTAAACGAGCAATACTTACAAACATATTTTTTTCTGAATAAAGAAGAAATTTTCATCTTTGTTTCTAAAGACCATGACGTCCCTAGGCAGGTGGGTTTGAACGACCGACCTTTCGTACAACAGTCGAACGCACTAACCAATTACGTCTCAGAGACCTAATTTTAATCTATTCCTGATTACATCATGTCTACCGCGACTAGAAAAATGGTTCATTCTTTAATAATAACTATTCTCTGAGATGATCTCTTTATTAAATAATTGAGTACCGTATCTAACTTCAGTTCTCATAAAAATGAATAAGTTCGAAAGAGTGATTCGATCATCCAAGGGGTTGTTCGTTTTATAATCTCTGTGTGGTTTTCATCACTTAGTCTGAAAATAATAACATTTCATCTGATGACGTCAGGCTCTTTTTAATGACAGAAGCGAAACAAAATAATATTTGAGACCACCCCAAACGCGTTTCCTCATTAACGCCCTTACCTCGCACTCCCCTGAAATACCAACTCCCACCCTCCCCTCCCCCCGAAATGCCAAGTCGCAGCCCCCCCCCCCCAAATGTCACCTCGCAATCTTTGACGAATCTCGTTCAGAATGACATAATGTATGGCATACTTTTCATCTGATGACGTCAGGGTCTTTTTAATGACAGAAGCGAAACAAAATAATATTTGAGACCCCCCCAAACGCGTTTCCTCATTAACGCCCTTACCTCGCACTCCCCTGAAATACCAACTCACACCCTCCCCTCCCCCCGAAATGCCAAGTCGCAGCCCCCCCCCCCCAAATGTCACCTCGCAATCTTTGACGAATCTCGTTCAGAATGACATAATGTATGGCATACCAGACAAGTATGGTGGCCGAGTGGTTAAGGCGTTGGACTTAAGATCCAATGGAATTATTTCCGCGTGGGTTCGAACCCCACCCGTACTAAGTTTCAATTTTTGCTGAGATTGTTTGGCATCGGTTTTCAATTTTGCCTCAACAATATTAGACGATTATAAAACTTTTCAGGACTGATGCTTGATTTCATTATGAAATATTTCAAAGCAGGTGACAAATTTCCCCATGTATCGTCATCAGACGGAGACGCATTCTGACTTCATGCTTAACATCATCATTTGACATAATCTCGCTGACCACATTCCAGTCATTCCAGTGCATTGAGTTTTTGCTGTAGAAAATGATTCAATGATTAATCAATGGGACTCTATGTGCTGGATAGTGGCTACACAATGGGAAAGTATGCAATGGACAGGGGCAACACAATGGGACATTATGTGCAGGACAGCGGCAAAAAATATTAACAAGCAATAATTACCACGAATTTTTTTTTTTTTTTAAGAGATTTTCATTTTTCTTTCTAAAGACTATAACTACAACGTCCTTAGGTAGGGTTTGAATAACCAACCTTTCGGACAACAGCCGAACGCGCTAACCAATTGCGTCTCAGAGATCTATAATCCATTCTTAGACACAGCATGTCTACCTCGACCAATGAAATGGTTAGTTCTTATTTTAACTATTATCGGAAATTACCTCCTTATTGAATAATATAGTACCGGATCTACTGGTTCACAAGTGGGACCCTACCTGCCGGCATTGCAGCCTGGTCCCGGAGACACTAGCACACCTGTTGACCGAATGTCGCTCACTAGATTTGAAGGTAGATTGTGTAATGTTACGTTTTGTATTTTATTGCGCTTCGAACCTTAATTAGGGATTATTATGAACTTTATTATTATTTATTATCATTATTAGATGTTGCAGGGGACGCCTGGGCTTTTGGAGAGCCTTACGTGAGGA